GCAAGGCCAGTACACTCGACTGGTCAATAATGATGCACCCATCCGAAGGCATGATAGCTGTTGCTTGCGAGTTGTGTGGGATGCCTTTGGAGCCTCCAGATAGGATTTGCGAGCTAGCGCGTGGTCCTCCACCTTCCTCCTCCAACCAAAGACTCATCAGTAGATTCTTGCACAGTATATAGTCCTATAGATATAGTAATCAGTCGCAAAAATCTACTGATTCTTCGAACCCCTCGCCTTCCAGGTCGCGCCGCGCTTCAGCAATCTGCCGCTCCGAGAAAGCCCCTCCAGGGTGGGCCAATCCGAGACTCCGGGTGGCGGCCCTCCACTACCTCCGGTGAGCTCCGATCCCGTGCTCGCGGATGGCCAAGCTCCCATGGCGCTTCGCTTGGGGGCGTGGCGAAGCCCCTAGCAAAGCGCTATCGCCCCCCGCCGCTGCAGGATCCCATCATCCGTGAGTCTAACCTGTGGCCTTGCGCTCCTTGCTTGCAGGAAGGAGATGGTGCGGATATCCACGGTGAATCACGCTCGGACGAGGAAGGCAGTAGCGTTACCCAGCTTCCCGCCCCAAAACGCAGCAGGTAGGGGCGCTTCGCCGGCTCCTCTCCGATCGCCAAGCTGCTCGTGAATTTTGCAAGCCCACTTACAAGACCATCGCAAGCGCTCTTTCTGCATTCTGGAACTAATCATTATTAGTGCATTCAACAGGCGCACAGCAAATACTCAACTGCCGACGCACACCGCTGAGACGAGCAGAAAGGCCGCATCCTTCATGGCCGAGCAGAAGGCCGAGCTGAAAGCCGTTCGAGCCCGTCAGAGACGCGAACCCGGCAGAGCGCGCTTGGAGGACACGCTCGACGATGTCTTAAAGGCGGATGTGGATTTCGACCCTCGGCACTGGCATTTGACGGACACCAACTTCATCCGCGAAAAGACGCCCCCTAAAGCGAGGGACACCCATAAGCAGAGCACGTTGCCGGAGTGCCTGACCTCCGCCCAATCAGCAAAAGCGGTGAGGAATGCGTTGCCTGCTATAAACGCTCAGAAACAAGACGACAGAAAGCTTTCCGATCATCTAGACTGGGGAGCTCCCCTTACCTGTGCCCACAGCTGACGGCGGCTCTGCGAGCCTCCTCTTGTTCCACGCATTCTCGTCGGATCTGATCACCCCAAAGCTTGCCTCTCTTCTTTGCCAGTGCAATCATTGCATTGGTCCTCTCCTCAGCTTGAAGCGCTCTAGTAGCTTTTGCTTTTGCCGCCTTTGCGAGCTTCACCTCATCCACAGACTTCGTCATCGATATGTATGTTCACCAACGGAAATGTCCGACTGGCCTTGAACGCACAGACCGTTCTGGGAACCCTCACAGCTATGTAGACCTGCTCAACCTCAAATATCCGCCATCATCGCTCCAGTCGTGGGCTTTGCCACGCACTCGTGGCACGTGAGTCACTTTTCTGAACACAATGCTCAACACCTGCAGGTTCAGCCACCAGTCGAAGTCAGCTGGAGGACCAAGGCGCAGATCAAACCTACGAAAGAGCGTGACAGGTGAAGCCTCTACCTCCACATCTTGACCGCTTCGCTTTGGGGGCCCGGGGCAAAGCCCCTAGCAAAGCGCTATCGCCCCTCCCTCATCTGTTGGTACTTACGGATGCCAGTAAGGCTTTGCGGCATGTACCGATCCATTTCCTCCCTTGCTCGTGTTGTACCTGTTCTGAAAACCCATTTGTGAATATCTAGATCTGTACAGTCGGCTTCCAAATCATCATGTATCATGTATCACAAAATAGGTCTTTCTGACAATCCACCACACTCTTCCACAGACGCGCACACCCGCAAGTCGAGCATACGCCGGCCATGAGCGAGCAGGCCGCGGAGCTGATGGCCAACAACAGAGAGGGGCTCCGCGCCTACGAGGTGGAAAGGGCAGCTCGAGCCGGGGCCCTCGATCAGCTGCATGGGGGACCTGGCCGCCGGCATCGGCGCCGACCACACTGCCCCTATCAAGCAGGAGCGATCAATGCTGCGGGACTGGCTCGTCGTGCATGAGGAACCCCCCGAGGTAGGAGGCTCGCTTCGTACTCCAGCGTGAGAGGCGCGAGGTCCCAAAAATCAGTAGATTCTTGCGAAGAAGTATATAGATTATAGGACTAGATAGGTGACAAGAATCTACTGATGAGTCTTTGGGAAGAGGAGGAATAGCGGAGGGCCACGCGCTAGCTCGAAAATCATGGCGTCGGCGGGAGTCCTTGCCCAGGAGTGAAAGGCTTATGGACCCAATCAGTAGGTCAGTCAGTCCCCTCTGTTGATCGGACGCACTCCCTGCTGGCCCCAAGATCAAACCATTTTTTCGTATATGTTGAATGAGGTTCATCGAATACTCTGTCAACCGGTAAGAGCAACATGTGCGGGGACTCTCGGAGTTCATTAAAAGCATGCTTGGTGACCCCTGAGCCTACACCTGGTTTCCAAGCATCAAAGGTGCCATCACCATCTCAATTGCTACACCGTTCCAAGCAGGTAGAAGCACTAGCTACTGAGTTATTGGCCTCGTGCACGTGGACGTTCAATGGGACCTCGCTTCGACTTTTTGCAGCCAACGTTTGACGCAAGGGGCGAAAGCATCGAGGACACCATGGAGGGCTCCGCAGACGGTGGTGACTCTGAGGCAACCGACAGCAAGCGTGAGGACGTGAGCATGTGCGTGCAATCAACACCGGAGACCGACGCTGCGGGGCAGTATTGGTTTACCTCGGGGAAGCCGCTGGAGCAGTGCAGACGTGCAATGGAGGCTCGCAGTGACGCCATCTTGATCGCCTGCGACGTGACAAAGGACTCCGGTGCCAAGAAATTCGGGAGCGTCCTCGACCCGGCCGCCCTGCAAGAGTACGTCACGCGCCGCAAGGAGATGGGCCTCGGTCACGCCAATCTATACGAGGGCTTGACCGAGGGCCTGCCGACCAAGCTGTACGCGGACATCGACCTGCGGACCGCAAGCAAGGTGCAAGGGGACTTCGAGCGGTACAAGAGACACTTGGACGAAGTGAGGGACGCCTTCCTGGTGGACGTGGTGGGCATACCGCTCGAGAGCATCCGGTTCGAAGCCAGCGAGGCCCACGGGGATGCGGCCGACGGCGGGTACAAGTGGAGCATCCACGAGCTGCTGAGCGGATACTACCTCGAGGACTTCCACGCCCGCGACGAGTTCAAGAAGGCCTTTGAACACTTCCAGAAGCACCTTCCCGCGCATCTCTCGCACTGCGACGAGTTCCTCTGGCATACGCCCGACCCCCAGAGAGGCCCGAAGCTCATCTGGGACCCCTCTGTATTCGCCAAGTTCAAGTGCTTCCGGTTGCTGTACTCGCGGAAGAAGGGCTCGGACCGGCCCCTCTTGCCCGTCGATGGATGTTCGACGCAGCTGGTGGACCATCTGGTGGGCATCTATACGGAGGAGGAGCTCGCGTGCCAGCTGCCTATCGACGTCGGAGCGCTGGAGCGGTACAACCGGGAGGTCGGGGTGGATGCAGGGGAGCGCCGCGAGACCCCCCGCCGTCATACGACCCGGGTCGCGGTGGAGGGGGGCTCAGCCGAAGGCGGCACTCGGGAGGACGCGGAGGGAGCGCCCCTGACCGCGCACGAGCTGGAGCGCCTGACGAGCGTTTACAGGGAGGACCACCCCGGGGCGGAGATCCGGACCACTCTGCAGGTTGCTACAGATATCTTTACCCTCCATTTCCATATCCAGCAGCCGATGTGCCGCATCCTTGGGGCCGCGCACGACAGCGACGGGAACAACGGCGGGTACCTTGTTTACAGGCGGAGCGATCCGACGGTTGCCTATTACAAGTGCCACTCCGCGAGGTGCAGGTGAGCTTGCTGAAGTCACCGCCAGCTTGCAGGCGGCGTGGTGCGGAATCAGTCAAAATTTGCATCTATACTCTATACCTATAGGACTATAAAGGTTGCAAATTTTGACTGATTGACCGTCTGCCGGAAGGGATGGCGGAGGAATGCGCGCTAGCTCGCAACTCCTGACTCTCTGCAAACTCTGCGCGAGCATGTGAGGCATACCACCAGCTGGCACACGCCCCTCTTCAGCTAGGATGGCCGCGGTGCAGGAACTTGAATCAGTCAAAATTTGCATCTATACTCTATACCTATAGGACTATAAAGGTTGCAGATTTTGACTGATTGACCGTCGGCCGGAACTTGGAACGAAGGAGGACCGCGCGCCAGATGGCAATTCCTGACTGAACCGCTCCGTCTCTTTGTGCAGCGGCACCGTGCGGCGGTTGCAGCTGCAAGTCCACCAGATACCCGGGTGGTCTCAAAACTACACGGACACGAGCGGCATGCTGCCTTACCCCTTGTTTGATATCGATCGGAGGGCGCCAAAGCGCACGATCCTCGTGACAGCTAACAAGGGCATAGGGAAGTCGAAGGCGAGCTATGATTGGCTGTGGAATATGCTGCAGAAAAACGAGGGCGCAGGCGTCGTCATCATTGCTGCCAACATCGCCCTCGCGAAGAAGTGCGAGTCGGACCTACGGATCGAATGTGAACGCAATCTACGAGAGCGAGCCTCGACCTATTTGGGCTCGACCTGTTCGTCAATTACCTGGACGCGCCGGGTGGCGATATCAAACAGCCGAGGATAATATGCTGCATCAACTCGCTCCACCGTGTCCGTTCCAGCCCGGCGATAGTCATGGTCGACGAGGCGGACATGGTCCTCGCCAACTGCAACTCCGACGTGATGACGAACCGGAAGAAAGTCTTCATGGCCGCCGAGCGCATCACGGGGGACGCCCGCGTCCTCATCGCGATGGACGCGCACATCGACTGCGCGAGGGTCCTCGAGTGGTTCTATATGGTCCGGCCGGACAGCGAGCTGCACTCGATCCAGAACGCCGGCATACACCCGAGCCAACTGGGGAGGACGGCCACCATCTGGCGCCTACCGAAGTTGAAAAACTTGGAGCTCACGTGCGCCCCGGCCGTCGCGCGTACCCTCGAGCTCCTGAAGAGCGGCCTGAAAGTCGGGGTGAGCGTCTCAGAAAATCAGTAGATTCTTGCAACTAATCATATAGACTATAGAACTATATAGACTGCAAAAATCTACTGCGGAGTCTCTGGCTGAAAAAAAGGAAGGGGGAGGACAGGACCCTACGCTAGGTTGCAATTCTTGTGGCCGGTCGTTCTTGAGTCGAAGCCATCAAAAGTGTATCTATGTTGTAGCAGCGCCCTAGAACTCTGGGGAAGATTCAAAAAGCAGTCACGGGCCGCCATTGACACGTTTCTAACGGGCGTCAGTTGCACATGCTGCAGGCGCCCTCGGCTAGCCTGCGCTACGTGAAGCAGCTGACGGAGGCCGCCGCTTTAGAATTCGGGCCATCGAAGGATGTGAAGGCATTCCACGGCGCGCAGAAATCTCCGGAGGACAAGAAGCGTCTGTTTCAAGCCGTGGCGGAACCGGACGTGCACATGCTGGCGGATTTGATGACACACACGTCGGTCATAGGCCCGGGAGTATCGGTTGGAAGGCCTTGGTACGATACGGTCGTGGCGCTGGCTTACAACAGCTCCTTCCACCCGGACGTGTTTGCCTTCATCCAGATGCTCTTTCGGCTTCGCATCGCGGGGCCCATGGACATATTCCTCAGTGCCGACAACCCGCGCGACTGTCAGCCGGCGTGCTTGCCGACAACGAAGGAAGACGTCTTCCGAGCGATCGAGGATGAGGACGAGGAACTTCGCAAAATGCTAGGGTCCACCGACCACCTCGACTTTCTTGTCAGACGACGCGGCAAGCGGGCGATATGCAACCGGGAGTCTGCCACGTGCGTGTTGTACGCCAACAACGTGCTCGCGAGATGCGACAGCATCCGCCACTACCTGAAGATCATGACGGAGGATCTGCAGAAGCAGGGACTGACGGTCATCGAGAAGGGAGCACCGTGTGTGGAGACCGAACATACTCCTCCAGAGGCTTGCGATCCCGATGCAGAGCTGACGGCTGAGGAGTGGCGAGAGAAGTACGTGGTTCGCGGAGACCAATACTCGCATCTCTAGGTGCTGGAGGAGTCGCAGGACGTCGGCTTACTAGAGCTGAATCAGATCAAGTTGTACGAGGCGATCCATGAGTTCTACAAGGTCGACCCCGGACTGGTCGACTTTGACTTCTTCGATGAGTTCTGTGGGGAGGACAACAAGAACCGTGACATGTATGGAAATTACATGAGGTGAGCAACCTTGATTCGACGGGGCAACTTTCCCACTGAGCTGATGGCGTTTGATTGGTTGTCCGGTGGAAGCTTTGTCCTTGCAAGGATTATCCCGAAACGCTTGATTGATGATCATTCTACTGGCGGCTGCAGGTTCCGCAAGCTCTCCCGCGACCAGATTGCCGCGGGGCTTTGCATTCCACTGAAGGAAGCCGATGCGGTGGGCGTTACTCAAGACTATGTGACGGAGCGGGACAGGCCTCAGAACAAGGTGCTCTTTGCCCGTGACGTGCTGGCGGACCTCATGGGCGTGAAGGACTCGGAAGGAGGATCGCTTGACGGGGCACTTGACAGCTACGAGGTCACGGAGTCTTCAATTCAAGCCGCCTATGCGGCGAAGGTCGGCACGAGCCAAGGGAGGCTCGCGAAGGTGCGCGGTGACTATGGGATACGACAGAAGGCGGCGCTGGACAAGCTGACGCCGAACCTGAAGCGGAACGTTGTCAAGAAGGTCATCTCCATCGGGCTAGGCCTCGACTTTCTCTTGAGCACGACTAGCAATAACAAGTTCGTAGGTCCGCACGTCTTCCAACCGGCCCTCTGGAGGGAGTTGCATGAGCGATATGGGGATACGCCAAGTAGCTCAGAGGCGGACGTTGCGCTCATCGTGATCCCGTCATAGCTAGCTAGTAGTATAGATGCAACAGTACATAAGACGATTGAGTATACTCTTAAAGAGTCAAGTGGTGAACGGAGTCAATTGATTGATGTGCGATACATGTTCTGACGCAAATGGCATGTGACCATTCTTTTATCTTTGGCGACAAGTAACATGCGCTATGCAGAGCGTGATCAATACACACGTTCGAAGGTCCGACCAAATTCAAGCCTTCTATAACGAATGCCTTGAGAAAGCTATTGGCCGGATCAAACGGGCATATGAAGAGGAGCAGTGCACAAGCATGATTCTTAAGCTGGGGGAGATAGCAGGGCTGAAAGGAATCCTCCCCCCGCACTCCATGCATGACTTAGTCAAAGTGGTGCGCATTGGCCTCGAAAAAGCTGGAGTCAGAGCTTACAGGTGCCGAGACCCGCATCATCTTATGGTGGAATGGGGAAACGTGCTCAAGAAATCTACCCAATCATCTGGTGCCAGAGCGACTCACACCAAACACAAGCATGCGGCGGCTGACGGTGGGCCACGCTTTATCTTTGATGGGGACCGTGGCACAATTCCCATGCTCGAAGTACTGATGAACCCTGCGAAATGTAAGCAGGCCTATCTATGTAAGCAGGAGGCAATTGATGTTACCGGTTAGCACCCATGCCCCGTCCCTCGTTCGTAACTCCGAACCATTTTAACCATCTCTCAGTAGCCCGACGACGACGAATCATAATCGTCTGTGATGGGGGCCGCTTGGCGTCGTCGCCCGGAACCCCTTTTAGACGGCTTGTAAAGCGCTTTAGGAGTCGCCGTCGCTTTCGATGTTCTTCGGTTCGCTTGTGGAGTCAAAGCTTCGAAATCTTCGATCGAAAGCTTCGTAGCGCTCGTCCTATAAGACCCCTGAAAATGCATAGCCTGAGGCCTCAGATTCTCTGGCAATGCATGCAGAGATACCTGGTATGCATACTCTTTGTGTTGGCTGCCTCTCGTTGTCTCCGCGAGTAAAACATACGCCTTGAATGGAAGGGTTACTGCCCTAGGGGCAGTTGCCTTGAGCAACCGATACAAAGCGCTACCGGCCCTGCAACCTGCTTGAACGACTCGCCCCCGCTCAGCGTCGATCTCGAGCCGCGACTCAGCTAGCTTGTTGGTGTGGTCCGAGCACTTTTTGTCGATAGCCTTTACGACCTTGAATGATCGTCGATTTCTCTTGTTTCTGAGCGGCTGATCCTCCATATTCAATGGCATGATAATAATGCACCAGGGGTCGGCGTCAGAGCGGCTCCCCCTGATGCATTTTTGGAGTCTGTCTCCCAATAACCAAAAACATGCCCCGTCAAATGACCACTCGTCAGGCGGAATGCACTATTAAATGCGAACGGCCTCCCTTGGCTTTTAGAATACTCCAATGTTTATTTACTGTAAATAGAATTACTGATATTTTGAACCCAAAGCGCTTTGATAAATTCATTGATTTATAAGTGTCCAAAGGCCTCGAAAAAGATGCCCATAACCCCTTGGCAAAGGGCCTCACGCAATCGTGCTTCTCTCCCCCAGAGCGCTTGCTTCGGATTATTCTGAGAATAATATCTTACGGGAGAGTATCGTCCCCATGGCAGCTAACCAGTCAGCACCAGCAACCGATGATGATGTTAAGAGAGTCATATGCGGCGAGACTTTCTGTCATAACCTGTTAAATGACGGCATCGCAAGGGCCTCGACGACTTGTATTCAGTACATGGCAAGCCTGACTTACATTTATAAGCTGCTGAACAAAGGAGCGGTTATGCCCCCCAACGTCGAGTGGATCCGCGACGACATCGACCGCCTTATCCCCTTGCTGGAAAAAGAATACACAAACAGAGGGACACTATGCAATAAATACACCCCGCTGATGACCTTGTCAAAACAACAGGGATGGATGGATTCGTACAACCGATACTATCGTAGCTTCTTGATCGCAAAAACTGCGCAAATCTCTCAGGCGGGATCGCAAAAAGCCACCCAGAAGGAAGAAATGAATTGGATCGACATGCGAGAAATCAAGGAAAAAATGGAGGAGCTAGGACGGCGCATAAGGCGCCAAATCCTCCCCGAGTTTCGCGCGAACCGGAGACCGCTCGGTCAAGACGAGGTGAAGGTCGTGTTCCAGCACCTCGTGTTGGCGGCAAACGTCCTCGAGCCTCCCAAACGACGTGATTGGGGTAACCTTCCAATTCGGAAGCTAGACGGCACCTTCTACAATGAAGCAGCGAAGGCCCTATATGAAGAGTTTGGCAACGAACTGGTCGAGAAAGCCACGGATACATATGTCATGGTCCTGAAGACGTTCAACATCGGATAAAGTGAGGATTGCCGCTCATGTGCCGCGCAATGCCGCCGGCACCTTGCGGCACATGACACAGACCTATCGCCACTCGGCAACGGTCCCCGTGCCGGGGAGTATTTGAACAGTGCCGATAGTTTTTGTCGGCATACTAAGCGGCATAATAGCATTTCTCCGG